GATAAATACAGTATAATTTCTCTTATGCTTGGAATCTAAGAAAACAAAACAAATGAGCAAACAGAACAAAACATATAGATACAGAGAACAGATTAGTGGTTGCCAGAGGCGATGGAGGTTGGGAGATGGGCAAAATGGGTAATTGAGATCAAGAGGTACAAACTTCCAGTAATAAAATAAATTAGTCACAAGGATGTAATGTACAGCATGGTGACTATAGTATAATAATACTGTATTGCATATTTGAAAGTTGCTAAGACTAAATCTTAAAAGTTCTCATCACAAGAAAAAACACTTGTGACTTTGTATAGCGATGAATGGTAATTAGATTTATTGTGATGATCATTTCACAGTATACAAATATAGAATCATTATATTGTACACCTGAAACTAACATAATGTTATATGTTAATTATACCTCAATTAAAAAAAGAAAAAAAATACTTGAGAATAAATTTAACAAATAACGGGTAAAACTTTTACACTGAAAACTACAGGACATTGCTGAAAGAAGTTAAAGAAACATAAATAAATAGAGAGATATAAGATGTTCATGGATTGGAAGACTCAATATTGTGAAGAATTTAAGTAAATTCCCCCCAAATTGATCTATAGATTGAATTCAATCCCATTCAACATTCCAAGTTTTCTACGTAGAGATTGACAAGCTGACTATAAAATTTATATAGAAATGCAAAGGATTTAGAACAAACAATCTTGAGAAAGAAGAACAAATCTGGAGAATTTGCACTACCTGATTTCAAGACTTCTGTAATGCTAAAAAAATCAATATAATGTATTACAGGCAGAAAGATCAACAACTAAATCCATGGAACACAACAGACTGCATAGAAATGGACTCACCCTTGATCAGTAGATTTTCAGCAAAGGTGCCAAGAAAATTCAATGAGGAAAAAAAATATTTTCAACAAGTTTTCTGTAACAATCAGGTGAATGTATGAAAACAAAATAAATTTCAACCCCTACCTCACACCATACACAAAAAGTAATTTGAAATACATCATAATCCTAGATGTAAAAGCTAAAATGATGAAACTTGTAGAAGAAAACATACAGGAATGTCTTTGAACATGGGTGCGGACAAAGATTTTTTAGATGGCACACAAAAGAGCAATGATCATAAAAGGAAAAGGAGATAAATTATACTTCCATAATTTAATATTTCTGCTCACCAGAATTTTTTTAAGAAAATGAAGAGTCAAGCGACGGAACAGGAGAAAAATATTCACAATGTATATATCTGACAAAGGATATGTGTCAATAATATAGGAAAACCTCCTAGCTACTACTAAAAAAAGATCAAAAAATCAAATTTTGAAAAAAGAGACAAAGATGAGACCAGATACTTCACAAAGGAAGATACACAGATGACCAATAAGCACACTGAAAAAGCACTTAACATGTTAGTTCACATGGAAACGCAAATTAAAGCCTGATGAAATACTCTCCCACACCCACTAGAATGGCCAAAATTCAAAGACTAACAGAAACAAATGCTGGTTAGGATATGGAACTAATATATATCGCTTTTGGGAATGCAAAATAATGCAACTATTTGGGGAAAAACGCTGGCAGTTTCTTATATAATTAAAAGTACACCCAACTTATGACCCAGCAATTCAATTCCTGGGTATTTACCAAGAGAAGTAAAACATATGTTGACCAAAAAAGAATGTTCATGAAATCTTTATTTAAAATAGCACCAAGAAAATCGAGAGGACAACAGATAAAGAAATTGTGGAATTTTTGTGCAGTAGAATACTACAGTGATTAAGTGCAAGCAGCTACTCCGCTTTATATGCAACAAATGGAGACATTTCAAAAACAGTATGTTACACAGGAGAAGCTAGACACACACAAAAAAATACTTTCTGCTCCCATTTATAGGAAATTTTAGAACAGGCAAAATTAATCTATGGTGAAAAGTTAAGAAAAGTGCTTCCTTGGAATGGGAGGTGAGGATTGAGTGGGAAAGTGCATAGAGGAATTATGTCATGAGGGAAAAATTATGTATCTTGATAGGAATGTGGGTTACACAGATGTTCACCTTGTCGAAATTCATGGAACTATAACATTCAATATCTCAATTTCACAATACGTAAAATGTATATCATATTTAAAAATTAGAAGAAAAAAATCATAATTTCTTGTAAAAATTACATAATCATGATCCTCTTAGAAATGAAAATGATTGCCATGTTAAGAATGTACAATCTAGGTGATTTTTAAAATTTTTGCTTTCTCTGTTTATTCATCCATTCTGCGATTATTGTGTGCCTACTATGTGTCCATCACTGCTATAGTGTCTTGAACACAACAGTGAGCGAAAAAAGACATAGATGCCTGCTTTCAAGGTGCTAACAATCTACAGCAGGAATAGGGAGAAAAGACAGGAAAACCATAATTAATAAGTAAATGATGCAGTGTTTAAAAAGCTGAGGAGTGCTATAAAAGAGAGAAAGCCTCTGACACTGCCATATCGTGCTCCAGTTGCTTGATGCCATTTTTCAAAAACTCATGGATATGCCTGAATTTACTGATTAGCATTTCTGCCTTCATTAATTCATTGATAATGCATTAGAAGCATTACAGAAATAGGTGTGTGTGTTTTAAAAAGTGCTGGGTTGTCATCATTGCTTTATTCCTCCAGCTTTTGACATATTTGATGGCTGAATAAATATGTATCAAGATATCACCTGGGAAGGTGAAAAGGTTGGTTTCAAGGACATTACGTTCAACACTAATTGCATTTCATGTGCTACTGAGTCATAGACACATTGAGTTATCAAGTCAAAGAGCAGCCCTCTTTGTCTTCTGTGTAAAAGACAAGCTGCTCAAATGTTACAGAATTCAGACGCCTAAGTCATTTAGCTGTGCTTGTGCATAAAAGACGCAGCACTGATAATTCAAAAAAGACGCGAAGAATGTGCTCTAGGAATAATTCTTTTATAAGTCATAATATCTGGCACAGAACATAAATAAAGCCCTATTTTTCTCCTTCAGTGCCCTGCCGTGAAGGAGTCACCGAGCCAACTTGTTATCTGCTAGTAACAGCGCGTTGGGGGTAAGCCTTCAGCTACGGAGAGATTCTTCCTGTATTTTTTAACAAGACATAGACTGAGAACACTAGAAATCCACAACAAAAAGCAATAGTACCGACAACTCAAAAGCCTCTTCAATGAGATTATTCAACATACAGAAATACTAAGCCCCATGTTGTTTTTCTACAGGTAGAAATCATACACAAAAATAAAGCGTTTTTGCTTGCTTTTATTTGTTGTTTTTAATTACTTATCTTGGAAAAATCAGACTCTAATCAAGTTCGATAGATGTACTAATGGACCTTGAGCCTTAAATCTATACTGTAGGATAGGATTGTTCCACAAGGTGTTCCTTTGCCAGCTACAGCTATCTACCTCTTTTCTTGAACATACAGCCGGCCCTCCTCACCTGCGGATTCCACATCTGCAGATTCAACCAACTGCAGATCGAAAGGCCTACAATGGTTGCATCCGTACCAAACATGTACGAACTTTTTTTCTTGTCATCATTCCCTAAACAATACAGTATAACCACTATTTGCACAGCACTTGCATTGCATTAGGTATTATAAGTAATCTAGAGATGATTTAAAGTACACAGAAGCTTGTGTGTTGGTTATATGCAAATACTACACCATTTTGTATAAAGGACTTGAGCATCCCTGGATGTTGGTATCCAAGGGATCCTGGAACTAATCCCCCACGGATACCAAAGGAGGACCATACATAATTCTGCTCACACGGAATGCCTTTTCACCTGCTAAAAGGCTGCTCACATTTCTAGTTACAACTCAGATCCCTTTCCTTGGTGAAGTCTTCCCCAACCAACACAATCGGAAGTGACCCGTCCTTCCTCTCAGCTCACACAGCATGATCTTCTGTCCCACTTATTTGGTCTAGAATTGTACTAGGTCATTTTCTGACTATAATTATCCCTCTCGGAGGCTCACAGCCTGGTTAGGATAATAAGAATTCCAGGCTCTACATACAGAACCCACTTTAAAGCCAAGTTGCATTCTCAAAATTGATTGGTAGATTTTGTAATTACAGCTATTATGAATAATGATTCCCTGGCCAGCCACTGAAGCTTATCTAACCCATACAACACCTGAAGTAGAGGTATCAACAGCACCCTTTGCAGAATTACTTTTCTGAGAAAATGCATTTTCTCAGAAAAATATAATATGTGATTTTGTCCTACTTCTGCATTGTCAACATCAGTTGATCAAAAATGTTTAGGTGATGAGAAAAGGCTTCAATGGCTGTTGATGATGAGATATTCTATTAAGCCCCACAAATTAGGGTGTCTTCCTAATGAATCCATGGGACTGATCCTCACCCTGTGGTTTCCAAGTTTTGGCTCAGCATCTTCTGTCAAATCTCACGTGAAATTCAAACACTGCGTGGTTTCTATCAATCAAGAAAATACCTGCCAAGGTAGGGGCGGGGAGCCTGGTGTAGACTATAGAGCGGGACACAGCACCATCTTACCTCCGTTTCCTAGATATTTCTATTAAAGGAGGTGGAGCTTGCTTTAAGCCGCTAAATACTCAATGTGTTGCTTTGTTTTGGCTATATTTATGAAAACACAAAAGTTTAAAATAAGATAATGCTACTTGGCCTTTTTAGCATCTTCTCTCATACTGCTCATCTTACAAAAGCATTCATCAGAGCTGTTTAAAGATAAAGCAGAAGGAAAAAGTCTGATTCATGGGTGGGTGGGTTTGATCTGAAAAACAGTCAATAAAATTACGAAAATAAACACTGAAACAACCGAGATTACAAAAATTAAGCTAGTTTTCTGTTCATCTCCTTTTTCTTCTATTCCTTTTGGATGAGCCTAGATGATTAAGAAGAAGAATCATGCCAATTGGTGGAAGCACAATCCTTTCTCTGAAAGCCCAGTTCCATGGCAGAAATTAGAAGAGTTTCTCTCACCTCTTAGTTCTCCTGTGTCCAGAGTCGTCCCCAGTTGTTCTAATAAAGCAACTCTCGCCGCATTCTTTTTGTGTTTCTTGCCATCGTAATGTTGCTGCGCCATCAGAGGATTATTAAACCAGGCTGCACAGAGCCCACAGTATCTGTCTGAATCTCTTCTTTGATAGGGAGACGTGACCACTGGCGCCGTGTCCACCCTCGGCGGCTTGAGTGAACTCAGGGGTGTTGCTGTGATGGGAAACAACCAGAGAGAACCACAGCCAGGTTAGTCCATGACTGAGTACCCTCGCCCTCAGATCTCAAGATGGAAGAGGCTCATGCTCATTCTACAGCTCAAAAATCCAAGAGCTGGAGAGCAGGAAAATGATCTTTGCCAGCCTTTGTTTTTGAAGTTGGGGTACAAGTGAAAATCCCTAATTTATTGAGATCAGAGTTTGCACATTGTTAAACTCAAATCTGATAGTTTAGGAACCGATACCTTACGAGGAAAGAAAGATTTTAAAAAATAAACTCTTGGAGGAGGGAGGGACATATTTATCAAATTGAAGCCAAAACTTGAAGTAAACATTGAACAATCATGACTTGAAAGATTCTGAATGAATGAATGAGACATTTGTGTGCTATAAATGGAAATAACCAACAAATAAAGGATTTGCCCAAGTGATAGAAACAGATCTTTCAGTGACATGGATTGTACCAACTGACAAAATCCTGCTAATTTTAGTCAGTTATTTCCATTTATTGTGATAGGTTATTTTCAACCTATAGCTGCTAAAATTGATGCTGAAAGTACAACATCTTTTTAAAAGACCAAAAGACGAACATTATAGAGCGGATGTTGCTGATCTAAACTGAAAAGGCATCATATCACTATTTTCACAGTGCCCATGCCCAGCTATTAATTTAACACATTCCACTGTGAGCTTACAGTTATTTATCGTCCAGAAAAGAGAGAACCTAACTTGAAGGAGTCTCCTAACAGAAAGTAAAAATAACTTTTGAATGCATTACAACATACAAGTTGCTTTCATCCTTACAATGATTCAGATTACTGTCCCATTTCTTAGTCGGTGGATTTCAGAGATGTCAAATGATTTACAGAAAGTGACATATTTAGTCAGATAAAGGCAAGACTCCAAACCAAATCCTTAATTTCTAAGGCAATGTTCCTTTCAATATGCCTAAGGACTCTTCATACTTTTTAATAACCAGAGGGATTTTTTTTTTTTTTTTTTGCTGGACCTCAGTCACGTTTGTATTTTATATAGGATTTAATTTTTAAAAATTTCTGATCCCAATACTTTGGAGAAAAAAAGAAATCTGAATTCTCACATGGTCCATAAGTCATAATGCAACACAGCAGGGCCTTCTGTTTGGTTTTTGCCTCTGTGATGTGGAGGGCAGCTGACAAAACCATGAAAATTAGAGTCATTCCAAGGAGACGCCGGTACCTGGAACCTCAACAACAAGTTCAGGAACTACCTAACTCCGGAAGCTTTCAAGCAACTTTTGTGTGGGCTTTTATTTTTTAGATTAAGTAACTGATACAGAAGTAAATACTTGCTAAATGACATTTTAATTCAAAAAATGCTTGTATTGTGACAATATCTCAAGAAAGTCTTTTCCTCTCTACCCCGAGATTTCATCAGACAGGAAAGTTTTAGCCAGCATGGATGAAACCTAATGGTATATTTCTACAGGGCCTTAGAGAAATAACATGTCTCCTAAAAGCCTCATTGCTAGATTCAGTCACAAAGCACTATGTAAAATTAAAGCTCACACGTGGGCCACGCCATCCTAGCAGCCACCCAGTATCATTCTGTTGTGACTGAGAAATGCCAAAAAAAAAAAAAAAAAAACTACAATAGGCAGTGAACCTGTATGTGAAAAGACTTCTATCCACTTTTCTGAAGGAAATTGGATCTTGCCTCCAAAGTTTCTTGCATTGTTATCAATTTCTGAAGACTTATAGCTGCCTAGTGTTTTCGGTGGCAATGGAAAATATATCAAATCTTGGCAACCTGAATGAACTTTGACGCTTGAAGCATAATTTACTTTTCTCTAAACTGGGCCCTAAAAAAACATTTCACAGTGGATTTTATCAATTGGTACTTTATATACCATATGCTGGCAGGAGTGATGCACAGTAGAATATTCACCAAACAAGATAATCTTATCTTGCGCATGAGAAAGTAGTTAGATGCTGCATCTGTATTGTAGCTTCTCCTCTTAAATAATTCTACTGCCCTGTGTACTGTCTGAAAGTTTCTCTTATGCTTCTGTTTCCAACCGTCTTCACCAATCTCAACCCAGTTTACATTCCATACAAAGGCAAACAGACGAAGTAGCATGAGGGGGGAGCAGTAACAGATTTGAATCAGTCAGTAATCAAAGTTGGGCTGGACTCCACCACCAATGAGCTGCGTGACCTTTGGCAAATCTCTGGAGTCTCTGGTTTCCACAAGGTTAGAATTCAGGCTCACCATCTCTTTAAAACTCATAGTTTGGGGATGGAACAGATTGTAGAAGCTCCCTCTCTTTTTTGGCTTCAACTGGATGCCAAATAGCAAGGTACTATGGGAGGAGAGCAGTTTCCAGGTTATAAAGCTAAATCTGTGTGCGTGCATGGACCATAACACGCATGTTTCTTTGAAAAAAGTTTATTATTCTAATAAAATGCATACAAAGTAGGATAAAGATTATCCTTTGGTTTAAAAACATGTTTTTAACAAAACCCTTTAGTTGATGAATAGTTAATTTTTATTTTAATGTCATGCTTTATGTTTTCATTCTCACTGCAAATATATTTAGCTAAATACTGACTTCACCTCCCCTATGTACTACTTAAGACCAAGAGTTAATTCATCAAAATCAGTAGTTTTCAACCTTGGATGAATATTAGACTCACCAGGAGCTTTAAAAATCTCTATGTCCAGGCTGTTCCCCAGACCAATGAGATCAGAATCTTTTGCTAGAAGCCAGGCATCAGAATGCTTTTAACACTTCCCTCCCTCCCACCTGGATCCATATTTCCAAAGGACAGTCAATGTTGAGAACCACTGATCTAAACAGGGCCAGTTTTAGTTTGAAAATGACTGTAAAAGAAAGCCTTCCTAGATCTTCACATAAAAGAAAGTCAAACATTACATTCAACAACGAGGCAAATTTTTTCGTAGGCAATAACCAAAATGTCACATCTTTATCCGTGAAATGAAGAGGAATAATAATTACTTGGTATTTTCTTAAAACTCCAGTCGATTTTCCCATTTCACCAAGATATAAAAGAATTTCTAAAACAGCAGCTAATGTAATTAGCTACTCTTAGCTAATATCGTAAAAGTTTAACAGCAAATTCTGACCCCTTTCCCCATATAGAAACCCAAATGCACATTGAGCTGTTGAGATGTTGTGCCACCTACATTTGACTGGCCCTGGCACCAGCCTGGTCTGCTGCTCTGTACCCTCCCTCTCCGCACAACAAACCCCTGTCCTGCAGGATGCTCCTCCAGCCCATCTGCTCTCGGAGGCCTTGACGACCTCAGCAAGAAGCAGTTCTCTCTCTTCTGAACTCACAGAGCACTTACTGACTGCATGACTCACTTGGCATTTCTCTAAACCACCTTATAATATTAGTCATGTGTGTGCGCGCACGTGTGTGAGGAAAATTAAATCATAAACCTAATACTTTGACACTTGATACTTTTGTGTTTGCTCCCTACTCTAGCACATGTCCACAATGCCTTATTTCAATTCGGAAAAATTCAAAAATCTCTGAAATTCAAATTTTTCTTCATTATTCATTTGCCATCAAAACCTGACCTGAATTCACACAAGGCTATTTATAGTATTTACACATGTCAATTAGTGTAAACATTCCTACACATGGCGATAGGATTATTAATACCTTTGATCATGGAGTGCTGTCTCAGATCCACAGGAACATAATATATGGTACATGTATCTTATTACATATCAAAAACCCTGACATTTCTGATTTTCAAAATGCATTCGGCCCCACACATTTTGAATAAAAGATCATGGATCTGTAGCCAGCTCAGAGTAACTAAAAGAAATTCAAATTGTTCTGATGCTTGAGACAGTTGAAGCAAGTCAGTCTCCCAAACTTGATTTCTAAGGGTCACTTGACACTGGAATAATTTTCAATATCCTTTTATTGCCTCGCATAATGTTTGTCAAGGAGCAGTTTCCCAACAGCTATTTGCAGGTTGTTGGGTAAGCTGTCTTGAGTAACAGTCTCAAATAATATGTATCTCTGTCCTACATTTGTTTCTTCCTGGGAGAATAACCGCAGTTGATCTAAGGACAAAAATATTTCCAGAGCAGCCCCTGTGTCCTTCTCTTGGAACGTGTCCCCATTCTGTAAGGTGACCCTGTGTACAGTCAGACCCTCCGTGATGCCAGCACCATGCAGGGTGGCAGACACACGGTATATATCCCATGCCTTTTGCTGAATGAATGAATGAATGGATGCTCTTCACATGAGAAGTGAGTGAAGCACACTGGTAATCAAGAGTTTTCTTGTTTCTTCTAAATTGTGTAGCTAGCTGCTGTACTAGACAATATAAATACTAGCAAATAAATGACAAGATTCTGGCGGGGGGTGAAGGCTAAATTGTGGAAGGGCAACATGTCAAAGTGTAGACACACATCTCAGTCTCCATCTTTTTCTGGAATCAACTGGACATTTTGAAAGACAGTATTCTGTCCATTTGCTGGGGTGGCCTATTTCTATATGAGTCAGAGAGTGCAAATTATGCACATCATTCTGGAAATTTTACTTTCAAACAGGAAGCCATTTACTCTGATTCATTTATCACAGCATCCAAGTCCTCACTCCAAGCTTCCGGTATGGTACCAACCGTCATTGCAGTTTACCTGGGACTGAGAGGGCTCCCAGCACACAGGTCTTTCAGTGCTAAAACAGGGAAAGTCCTGGGCAAACTGGAATGAGTTGGTCACCCTGGCTTCTGGGGTCAGACTTGATTTAACATCACACTGGTAAAACAGGAATTCATGAAAAGTTTGGAAATAATTTTTCAGGAGACTAGAGCAAGTACACTTGCAACCAAGCAGACAGGATCTGCCAATAGATCTCAAAGCATACTTATCAGACCGTGAATGGGGGTCCTCAGCCAGAGAAGGAGACCACACAGCCAGCTGGCAATGCTATTCTCACCCACCTGTCTGCCTTCTGGACCACGGCCACA